GACGGCACTTGCGAGATTTTGTACGAGATCAACTGGTATGTTTTGCCAATTGAGTACCAGAAGGACATAATGCATCTGATCAACCGCAGACAAAATAAAAAATCTCTATCTGTTGGTCCTTTTGCAGAGCTAAATATTGAAACTTTCTATATTGTAAGGACACAATATTGATCTTACGCAAAAATTCAGCTTACTAACTGTATGTCTCTCTTATTAGATATCTAAAAAAATCTATTCGTTCGTGATGTTTTTATTCAACTTTTTTGAATGAACGCTCTTCTTCTTGAAATGTTTCAACACAAAAGATAGTGAACACAAAATTGTTGACCTCAACTTAAGAACATTATTAGAAAACGTTCTGGGATTGGATTGCTGCTTCAGCACACCAATTCTTCACAGCAAAAAATAAATCCAAATCAATATTTATTTGATTTTTTTTTTTAAATAACTTTAAACGCTTGCTTTACACGCAGATTAATAAATGCAAAGAGTTAATGTTTTCGGGGAATTTGCTTGGTGTGTCTTTCTTATTCCAAAGACTCTTTAGAAAAATTTCGATAGACAAATGGACACGCATTATAGCGACATTCTTCTGAATGAAATTGATGTGAACCTAAAATAGGGAATACATTAATATACTAATTTTTGATTAGTTGCCTAAAACATCAGTTGTTATAAGTTCATCTCTCACTTTCGGGGTGTTAACTTCTTCGTTGTGTACTAGAAATATAAAATGAACGCTAGGAGTGTCTCAACAACATATTGATCAATTGGTGATATACATATCACCTTGAAAGTGATTTAATACCAACGAATTGGTTACTTACACAATTGCACAACTGAGTACATACACGAAACACAATATATAATGTTTTTTTTTCGTTACGCATAAAAAAAACGTTTCGAAGTCTGTAAAAATTATATGCAGGTTAGGATTAAATAATTCAACGAGTGCAATAAAACTGATTTATTAAATTTTCTGCTTTCTTTTCTTTCATGAAGCGCACAGAATAAGCTGTTGTAATCGTTAACCACTAGAAGATAATATATTTCATGTTTTCATATCAACAGATGTGGCTGTTGATAAAAAACATTATTGTGTGCAAAAAAAAAGGTAAGTTGTGTGTACGATAAAAAGCTACATTATACATATACGATGCTTGTGCTGCCACTGTCAATGTATTCAAATAAACAGCTCTTTAATCGAAAAAATTCAATAAAAACATAACGAACGAATAAATCTTCTTTGTTATCTGGAAAGAGAGACATACAGTTAGTAATGCAAGTTGAGTTTCTGTCCAAAATGAATGAATTTCCTCACATCATAGAATGTTTCAATATTGAGCTCGGTAAATGGACCAATTGAAAAAGCGGATCTATTTTGTCTGCGGTTCATTAAATGCATTATGTCCTTCTGGAGTTCGATAGGCAGAGCATACCACTTAGCGTTGTACAAAATTTTGGTTGAACCATCGTTCTAAAAAAAGATCGAATCATTTAAATTAAACGCAATTCAAGATACTCAACCATCCAATGTTCGACAGATCTCAAGTACACTGAGGCTACCAGTAAAGTACAAAATGTAACAAAAGCTGTACATCTTCATAAACATAGCAATATTTTGGTCAAAAGCAAACTACGAGCTATCATTTGAAGCACATTAAGAGGGCGTCAAATTTTATTCACTTAGAAAGTGAATGCATATGCATATACATATGATACTCAAAAAAATCTCGAGTATTATAAGCCAACAAATGTTCCCAATCTAATGGAATGAAATAGTCTGTAAATGAGGAAATGCAGAATATTTGTTTCACCGCAAACGTATCCGCAGCCGCGCAAAGGTAGTACAATTGCACATATGATATAATCGCAGCACAATAACCAAAAAGATATTGCATCTAAAATTCAAACATCATTGATGACAAGATAAAATATTTCTCTAAATGCCGTCGGACGATTACATTTGTTTCGCATATCAAAATCAATAATCATGAAACACATACTGCGTATTCACAATAAATGGACATGGCGATACTATAAGTGAATCCAATTGGAGCTGCAAAAGATCGCCAATACCATCCGTCCGAAATATCAATCACTACCCTAATGAAGAACAGAGAAGTTTTGACTAGAATATTTGAAGCTTGAATAAAAAACGATTGTTTCACACCTATCGTAATCCATCATTTGCAGTATGATATTTCTAAAAGTTCGACGCACTTGTATCGCATCGAAACGAGCTCCTTCAGTTTCTTCATCCAATTTATGGAACTCATGCTCGACAAATTTCGGTGAAGCGATTCCAAATAGAATTGTAAGTTCCATTGCGACCTCCATACCTTCAAAGCCAAAATGATTAAAGAAAAAAATGAATAAAAAACTTCAAATCAAAACAAATAATTAAAAATGTTGTTTCGATTAGTCAATACTAGTCACCGATATAGCCGAATAGGCCATAGATCAGCATAATAGATTGGTAAGAAAAGTTGACCGCAAACTCCGCATTTGATTTTTCCTCGATGAATGGGATCTTGAATTCGGTGGTTGTTGTTTTTATCCCCAAGAATATATTTGTATAAAGTATTCTGACCATTCCAATAGCGAACGCACTCAACATTACAATAAATCTGGTCAGAAAGCCTTTCATTGATCTGTCCATTATTTTCGAACCAATTTGAGTATATCTTTTATCTTCGTGTTTATCTGGAAAAATATATTTCCCTCCGAAATCCATCCATCCATGCACTGAAACGTAAAAGAAACATTTGGAATTGTTGTAACGGTAGTGGTTGCAAAAAAGAATATTCATTTTATAAAACCACCACGAACCTGCATATCGTTTTTCTGACGATGCTAAAAACAGGAATGGTAGACCCTATAGACATATCAATTTTATTGTTAGTACATTTTCAACCTGAATATTCTGTGAGCTAGTGAATGAAAAAAATGTTTGATAGTACCGCGAACCCTGGGCCAATTAAGACGCACGTGCTGAGTAAACCAGCTAAAATATCTCCTTGAAACGAATAATAGATAATGGTATATCCTGACAGAACAAATAAGGTGCCAAACAACACATGTCCTGTATAACTATAAAAGTGAAGCGTCTGATCTTTTTTGAAGACTGGCAATCCAGTCATATCGATCCCAATTTTTCCGATTCCATACAAGTAGCACCATTTTTGCAACGGAGTTTTTGAAATCCAATCTTTCCGGATTGTTCGCAAAGTTTGGAAATATTCAATTGCTGTCGGTATTGTAAATTTGGTGTTTAAAACCATTTTAATTCGATAGAGTGAGTGCACTTGAGCTATAGTGACTGTTTTAGTTGAAACTACTCGATTGCTCTGAATATTGCCTTCAACTGAAGAGAACCGCTAGAAATCATTAGAATATAATGGTTTTACGTTTCAGAAATTGTTGCTAGACAATTTATTTGTGTTCGCACCTGTTGTGTTCTGGAATAAAATATGCAAATGATTGGGCATTGTGGTAAAAAGAGTGTTATTTAACAGGTGAATGCAGTCTATTTGCTTGATATCCTTGGAATAAGTGTGTTTGCATCATATACGACGTACATTGTACGTGGCTTAGAATATTGATTATTCTCGACATTGAATGCATGAGTGGATGCATATATTGCTAAACTTTTGTTTACTTCATTCCAATTCAAAACACACAAAATGTACTAGTGAATCAATTATTATTTTCTGGCCTGGGAATTTTATCATGTTGCGCCGAATGATATTGCATTTCAAATCGATTGATAATTATTTACGTCAGATGGCAAATCTGAATGGAAACGACGCAAGCACCCTCAATTAAATAGAACATATGCTTTCCCGTTGCCTTTCCCCGAACTTACAATGATTGTACGATTCTTTTGATATTATCGCCCTCCTATTATTTATCAGAAATGTTTTCTAGGAAGTTTAGCTATTTTGCTTACGTATCATGCTCCCAAGGAAAGTTTGTGAGCAAAAGCCATGAGCATCGATAAACGGTTCAAAATCGTTCAATATTTGATCATGCTAATGTCTAGTATGATAGAATACGTTCGTACCAACTCATTTCCTAATACGTATAAAAACAAATTACAAATATCTGAAATTGCATTTATTCGGCTAACGGCACTGTTAAATCTGTATATTGAAACATTCAAGTCTAAAGAAAACAGTACTCCGTTAAGGAGGGAATCATGAATTTCTCTATAGAGTTGAATCAATTGTGCTTCTTGAAATTAGTCTGCATCAGTGGAAAACAATACTACGTTATTCATGTTGGGAAGTTTAACATTTGGTTTTAGTGGAAAAAAAATTCAAGGTTGCCATTGCAAAAACAGGTGTATATGTTCTCCTGTCTATTATCCAAAATATTCTCTTTTAGAAATGATATACATTTTTTAAGCATATTGAGCGAATACAATGCTTTCACCTGTCTGAATCCCATGATTCTCTCGCTCAATATCCCGCTAATATATTGCTTTGATTCGAAAAATTTCAATCCAGTTTGGGTTTGGATTCAGAGCTGCTTCATTTTGAAATACAAACTTTTGCCATCAATGAAACACTTGATCTAATTGAAATGGTGTTGAACGACAAATATGTTCAACCTTCAGCCCTCGAATATCTTCGAACTTTGAGAACAATCCGTGAGGATTGGAGTTCGAAAACTCCACTGGAGAAATGGTGTTACCTAAATGGAATTGGTCGGCTCGCGTTAAAACCGCTTGATGTACCAACCTTTAAAAGTGACCAATCAATAAGTTGGTATTCATTTGCAGGATTTTCTTATATTATCATTTACATGGTTCTCTGCGTGTACACCATTATCTACTACGCGAATCATGGCGATGTCATGAAGGGCTTACCCTCTACTTGCTTGTTGATAGTGTCATTTGCGGTATAAATATTCGAACTCAATGGTATTTAGATAAAAATCGAAAATATACTAACGAAACATTTATAATATATCTTCAGGGTGTCCCTTTTTTATGGATGGCAGTCACAAAACAACGTTTCGACTTAAAGAGCTGGATTCAATTCGGTGGAAGATACATCTATCCAAATCAACACGATGATGAAAAATATATTGAGATATGTTCGAAACAGGTGGACAGGTCAATGAGAAACTTTTTGATCAGACTTGCTGTAATGCTTGGTGCGTTCTTTGTTGGGATGAGCAGACAGATTTATGCAAATATATTCATGGGAGCGAAAACCACATGCACAGAGCTAAAAATTCCATACACAGAAGAGAAATCAAATGCTGAGTTTGCGGGCAACCTCTTTTTACAATCTATACTTCTTTCATATGGATTTTGTGGCTATATAGGTGACTGATATTGACTAATTGAAACAACATTTTTAATTATTGTTTTTATTTGAAGTTTTTTATTCTTTTTTTTTTCTTTAATCATTTTGGCATTGAAGCCATGGAAATTGCAATGGAAATGGTTATTGTAGTGATGTACACTGTGCCAAAATTGATCGAGTATGAATTCCAAAAACTGGATGAAAAGTTGAAAGAAAGTCGTTCTGATATGGTGAATGTGCATCGTACATTTCGGAATATTGTGCAGCAAATTATGGACACCGATTAGTATGAACCGAATTTCATCACATTCATTGCTTCATTCTTTTAAGTTACTGAAATTGACCAAATTGTTGCAGTTATGCGATGAAAATCTCGGACGGGTGGTACTGGCGATCCTTTTCAGCTCCGATCGCTTTCACTTATGGAATCGCAATGTCAATTTTCTGTGAATACACGGTACATTTTCCATCATTATAATGAGAAAAGGGTTTTTTTCTGTCAAATTCAATGCTTTTTGAATTTCAGATGAATTTTATGGCTGGTTATTTCAGTGCTTTAATATCATATTTACAACTGTATTATCTTTGTGCGGCTGCAGATACTTTCTCGGTACTAACCAAACCATACCTTTTGATCGTATATTTTTTTAAGCACAGAGTACATGTACTTAAGGGTTGAATTTAGTCGTTTTTCAAAAATTGCAACATTTTTCTATCGTTTAAGAATGACGGCACTTGTGAGATTTTGTACGAGATCAAGTGGTACGTTTTGCCCATCAAATTCCAGAAGGACATAATGCATTTAATCAACCGCAGACAAAATAAAAAATCTCTATCTGTTGGTCCTTTTGCAGATTTAAATATTGAAACTTTCTATGATGTGAGGATAAGCATCCATTTTTGACAAAGAATCAACTTGCATTACTAACTGTATGTCTATCTTTTTAGATATCAAAGCGCATCTACTCTTTCATCATGTTCTTGTTGAATTTTTTCGATTAAAAGATGAGCAAGCTGTTTAGGTGGATACAGTGACAGTGAAAGCACAAGCATCGTATACCTACTACTGTAGCTTAACATCTTACACACAACTTCCCGATTTTTTTGCACACAACAATGTATTCTATCAACTTCCATGTCTGTTGATATTAAAACATGAAATATATCATCTTCTAGTGGTTATAGATTACAACAGCTTATTTTGTGCGCTTCAAGAAAGTTTCAAAATTATTAGGCGATGAGTTTCAATTTGCTTAATTTTACAAGCATTTCAATGTAGAACAAAAAGAGAAAATTTCAATAAATCAGTTTTGTTGCTCGTTAACTTATTTAATCTTAACCTGTTCAATGATTTATCATGTTTTCTTTCTTTCGTACCACGAGAAATTCCAGTAGCCACCGAACAAATCATTTGGATCTTCAGAAACGTGATTTCTGGAATAAAAGCTGGCACGTGAATTCGATAGCCACTACTGGTGGCTGAACACCACTGCAATTTCACGCATACTCAAGCGAATTTGAGTGGAATTGGAAAAAAAATCCAAATGGATATTTATGTGATGTTTAAAAAAAAAACGCTTGCTTTATACGCAGAAAAATAAACTCAAAAATTAATTCCCATTTTTAACGCATTTTTATTCTTTGAGGATTTTATTAGCATATTTTTTAATTCGAAAAGATTTTCCATCCTTCTGAAACACGTTAAATTGAATGCTTAAATTCATTACTCATTGTATTTGTTGATATTGAACAACTTTCAATGCAATTTTGATTGACGATTTGAGTGTTCCGAGTGTATGTTTGGCACGCTTGCATGGCTGTAAATCAATTTTAAATAATTCACTTTAAATCAGTTTTGAATATTGGAAGGTTTTACAATTCATCAATTGGACATGAAATCTCTTTTATTCATTCACGTTATCAGCAAACAAGAAATCTTTTCGAAGAATTGATAATGCAAGCAGCTCTTCTTTACGGTCATTGTTTTTGTAATAGTTATTTCGTACAAGAATTTGTATTTTTTCGAACATTAAATTTCATTTGAAAAAAAGAAAAATCTAACGAAAATTGCATTTGTGCAATCAAATATGTCAACAGTTTGACGAATCTCATCACAAAAAAACGATACCGCAAGGAATTGCTATTGTTCAAGCATCATTTCGTATTGTAGAGTTTCACACAAACCGGCTATATTCAATGCTCAGATTAACCAAAAGTCGTAAATGGTTGCATTGTATACAAATCGAAATTTGATACGAACGAACACACTCTTAGCGACAGTCTCAACCGATATCGCTATGCGTGTATTCCATAAAGCAAACATTCAATGTGAGAAAAACCCAAACACAGTGGCAATTCATTTTTATTGACTAACGCAAACACAAAACACATTTTGTTTTGGCTGACCGATGCCGATTTATGTGCACACACAGAACGTGCACTCGTATCATGTCTCGCGCCATCGTCTAAAAGTGCCGGTATTTTTTTCTTTCATTCTGTTGCGTACAACTCACCGATGGAACGAACAAAAGTGAGAGAAAAACACCGTTTCGACGGTGTCTTTAAGCATCACTTTTACAGTAGCTGAAGCCGAATCATCAAGTCACACGCAAACGAAACATCGACCAGCGAACATCGTTCATAAGCACCGGCTTTTTGGACCCCATTTTCTGTACGATTTGTGTTTAAAACGAATATTTTTAGTTTTTGTTCGTATAATTATTTGTTCGTTTCATTGTGCTATTGTTATTTTGAAAACACGCATTTTCACCCGACCTGCGATATTTCAAAATTGTTTTTTTCTCTGATTGTAAAGCCAATTGCTTGCCCAACACACAAATTGAACACAATCCGAGTACCAAGGTAAGTCAAGTGCATTTTTATAAATTCCCTGCATTTTTTGTGTCGTAAAAATTAATAAATCAATTGGGCACCATTGAATACGTGTTGATCTATATCGAATCTAGTGCAATGACGCTGTTACATATCGATTACACTCGTAGCTCGCATTCGCCGTATTTGCGCGCCAAAAATGACATTGCTCAATCAGAACATTGATCGCAACATTCTTTGGGACTTTTGTTTCAATCCATTGTCATGACATTTTTCTATGCATAATTTTTCGATTATTCTGCACAGAACGAAAAAACCAAACAGTACGATTTCAATCAACATTTTTTCCTTAATATTTTCCGTAATGCAAAGACGAAAGGTGTGAGTTTGAGTAAAATCCCGTTCATTTGTCAAACCACTGAACACATTCATTGTGCACACACCACATAGCATTCAGTGTGGTGGGTAGCAGAACAAATTACCGTTCTGCGGTCATCGCATAATTTTTAGCGCCTAGACTTTTTTTTAGTGAACAAACCATCTAAGCTGTATATTTTTGAATTCGTTTCAGGTAACGGCAAAATGGTGAAAACCGTCGACACACCGAAGAAGCGTAAAGGCGTTCGCACGAAAAGTTTGAAGAAAGTCAAAAACACACCGTCGCTAACGTCATTTGGCGACATGAACGACGATTGTTTAACGAGCGTTTTTGATTATTTGGACACCGCTAGCCTGGTAAAGATGACCAAAACATGTCAACGAATGAAGGACATTGTTACCGATCGCGTGATTCCAAGGAAAATTGTACAATTTGGTGAAATTCGGCGACAATCATCAACACGAAAAGCGTTTGAATTGTTTGGTCCATCGATGACACGAATGAAAATCCATGCGGACGACATTCAAATGACTCGCCCAGGATTCACGCGTTTTTCTGAATTTTTGCGGTTGCTCATGGCTTATGGTGAGCCCGGAAAATTGCAGCAGCTCTCCATCAGTGGATTTATCGAGGATGGTCGCGAAATTTCATCACAATTGCTCGAAGCTGCTCGTCCTTATCTCGAAAATGTTCACACGCTCAGGATCGAGTTACCGGCGAATTCGTACATGGCCGGCACATTCAGCAACAAGCTCATGACTCACATGCCGAAGCAAAATCTCCGCCATTTGTGTTTGCACAACATTCGATTGATTGGTGAATGGCTTTCGGTGGAATCGATGCCAAAGTTGGAAGTTTTTCACTTGTCTGTTGGTCGCTCCTATTATCCCAGCTACGCAAACAAGACCATCGAACAGTTGCGAACGTACATTGCGGAAAAACCACAGCTGACCTGTTTCAATTACGTTGGACCGAGTCAAGAATCCATTCTGGTCGAAGTGTCGCGTCACATACCGAACATCGCTCGAATTTGTACGGTCAAAAATTTGATGGTTGATGGTCAATCCAATGGCCAGAATGACGACAACAACAGCACCAGTAGCGCCGCTTGGGGTCGTCAAGGCTATCGTGCAAAATGGAAGCATCTCACCGAATTTACGAATTTGAAGCAATTCAGCTTGGAATCACATGCGCCAGACTTCAAGAATTGCGGCGAAGTTTTTCGCATTTTGGCCAACCGAAATACAGTTGAACATCTTGAACTGATCACGGGTCACATTTGCCAAGACGGCAACAATCCAGTTGACATTGATCATTTGCGTCAGATGACGAATGTGAAAACGCTTCGATTGGTTGACTTTGGTCGATTCCATGGTGACGAATTCATGGGTCAGCTCTTTGAAAATCTCATCGGCTTGCACGAGTGCACCATCGATGGCAGCCAACTGAAACAAGCCCCCATCATCAATTTGGTTGAAACCGGCCGAAACTTGCGCGTCTTGAACATGGCAACGCTCACATCGAAATACTACCGCAAACTGGTGAAGGTTCGCAAGGTCAATCATCCAGAACTACTGGGTCAGCCGCTGGTCGTACGCGTCCCCAAGCAAATCGCCGATAACTGCACATCGGAGCTCAACAGCCGCACGTACAAACCAGACATCATCATGATCCAACCGATACAGTAAGCATAAGCGTCTTTTCAGTTGAATTGAAAGAGACATCTTATCGATTTGTATTCACGTTTCTTTTTTGTTTATTCGGGTTCTCTGTTTTGAAAAGTCTCAAGATTTCCATTACCCGAATCAACCTCATTTTCTATTTGTATACGACATCAAATGTGTCTTTTTTTCTGTTTAAAACTGAATCATTCATTTGTTTCGAAGAAATTTCATATTTAATTGTTGAATAATTATAAAATTGATGTCGAAAATTTTCAATAGAACAAGTGAAAATGATCACAGCCTGTAAGAAATGATTTGAAATCGTATTCGCAGATATCAGTGATGTTCATAAATTTAGTCATTTGCTGAACAATTGGCCAGGGCCATTGACAGTTAAATAGGAGCGAGAAATTGTGAATAAAATTTGAAATTTGTCAAAATGAAAGAAAAAAAAAATGCCAAGAAAAAAGGCTATCGAAGAATCATACAGCTTTAGAAAGCTTATCTAAAAATGATCCGAGCAATCATAAATTCTAAATGAAAATCGAAACCAGTTTATTTTGAATTGAAATTTAATCAAATTAAACGGAATCAAAGCTTTATTGTTTCAAAAACCATCGACTGATTCGAAAGCAAACGAATTTCGAAATTTTCTTCGCAAAAACTACTTACCTTTCTCTAGATCTAGAAAACAAAGTTCATTCCATACAGAATTGTACATCGATTACTTTAAGATGATAGAAACAACCGGAAAATTTAACCGGTAGTTGATTTTTTTTTTATTCAAATTCTGTTTCGTTGTTCAATTTTTGCTTCGATCATACACATGGAAATACTGTTATTGAAATGAAAAAAAAATGATTAAAATGATTTTCCTGTTAAAAAAAACTTCTAATAGTCCATAAAAAATAAAATTGGCTTTCAGTTAATTCCGAAAAAAAAATAATCCAAATAAATGTAATCAAATGGCAAATGTTCGTGTAGAAATTACGGTCTTTTCGCTTTTTTTCAATAAACAAATACAATAATAAAGAGAAAATTATGACAATGAGTATAGTTTTATTAGTCTATTTCTACGATGAAATTGGTGCTTTTAATTCAACGGCATAGGCGCTATTCCAGTCCCGTTCGAAAATATTGGCCAAATCTTTGCGAATCGAAGATGATGTTTCATTGCGATCCGACTGTGTCTCTTCTAAGATTAGCCCGATACCAGCCGTGTCAATGAAATAATCTGCAGACCAATTCGATGTGCCAATATAGGCTGTGTTATCAGTCACCATGTACTTGTTGTGGTTAACTCGAACAAAGGGAATTTGTTCTTGGTCTCCTGTTGACGTGCAAATAAATCGCCGCTGAAATGGAATGAGAAAATTTTCGAATTTAAAGAATCAATTCAAAATTGTTCTGAAATCAAATACAAAAATGATGTTCCATTGAGTATATACCACTTGAATGTCAACACCTGGATACGCATTCGACACCGCTTTGAGCGAGTTCAAGAAAAAATCCTCTGCTGGTCGGCTGTGCTTCCACCACGAAATTAACAGTTTCACAGACACACGCCGATTGATTGCAGCCGTACGCAAGGCGTCGTCGATTACAGGCCAGTATCTGAAATTGCGTTCAATGGGAAAGTTCAATTCACTGATATGAAGAGCAAAAATAGTCCGGTTAATTGCAAAAATAGATTAAAATATTACGCACTTTGGCTTTGGTGTGTAAATTGATACCGGAAAGAAGTCCATGACCGATATATGCACGAATTGTTCAGCTTTTTCAATCACATTGACAATGGCATCAATATCCTGTGATCTCCCATTTGGACTCATCGGAGGTGGTGAACTCTGAAATTGATTGTCAATCAAAAGAGCTAAGACTTGTTCAATCCATCTCAGAAAAATTCAAATATATTGATAAAAGAATGAGAATTTCGAACTAATCCAGGCAACAAATGAATCCGATGAACCCATTTCAATGAGCCAATTTTATCTTACCGAAAAATAAGTATTCATTTTGTACTCTTCATTGAATTTAACTCGAACTGGATTGGAAGCGTTTATCTTTGTACTATACACCTTTGGCCAGCTGGGCGGAATTACAGCATTCTTTTTGCCCATATCCCAATATACATTGAAAATCTTCGAAACGTCATTGGCAAGGCACGAGCAATTTGTTATCAAAACGCCGAGTTCTTTAACCTGTGCAGATATCAAAACAGAGGTTATGTTTGAAAAGAAAAAAATCGATTGAAAAGGAATGAGGAACAAAAGTTGATACTAAACCTGAGTTAATGACCGCCAATCCATGTTAGCGCTGCCAATGTATATGTGTTGTCCGTCGACAATCCACACCTTGGTGTGAAGCACACCAGCGCCCAGCAATCGGGGAAAGTCTACCGATCGCACGTCAGCGGCTTTTCTCTTGATCAATATGTCTGTGTCGTAGCTTGGTACATCCTGGGTCGGTGCACTGTGAGCGACGCGAATTTTGATGCCACCCTTTGTACCGGCTGCCAATATGTTGTTGAAAATCTTTTCGCCTTGCCAATCGGATGTATGATTGTAGAAGTCGGCACCACGCATTGTCCAATAGTATGACCCAATGTCGAGGGTTTTATTGGCCAATGAAATCAGGCGATTCCATGCATCGTACGTTGATTGGAATGACGGGCTGCCATCAGGATAAACCAAACCTTCCGGAATACTTTCCACCAATTCGATTCTATTCACAGAGTGAAAGAGAGATGAATTTTAGAATATTGAAAAAGAACTAAATTTTGACCACAAAATTAAAAAACTAAAAAGGTAATGGATTCATTTATAAATTAAAGAAAAAACTGCAAAAGTAGACAGAATCGAACAATTCTTACTTGCATGTGCTGGTGCATGCATTCGGGGCCTCTTCGAAAGCATTTCTACCCAATAGTTTGTCTTTGTAAGAGCTTATTACACTGATTGGAACGAACCATATGACAGCAAGCATCACGAGAACGACTCCAGTTGGTATTAACACGGCTTTCCAACACGTGCCAGATCTAAGCGAGAGAACAATGTGACAAAAAGAATCGATAGCATTATCAAAAACATTGTCTGAATGAGTGCAATAAACTTCTTTTTATATTACCGTTGACTACGCCCCAGGCCCCTATTGTGATCCCACAAATCAAACTCGTCATTTTCAGATGTAACAGGAATACGATTTTTGCTAGCCTGTGTGAGATAAATGAATAAATTCAGCAATAAATTAGTTGGAACGTATGATTGTAATGAAATTCGTAATTTTTTTTTTGCAATATGTACTAATCGACCTTGATCATCAAGCAAATAACTTGCATATAAATTCAATTATGCCTTTCTTGTTCAATAAAACCAAGTTCAATTCAAGTGTACTCAAAAAGATTTTTTTTTACTTGTGTGTTTGTAAGAAACAACATGATAAAAAAACAATTTTACAGACGAACATAATGCGCATATAATATACCGAGAAGTAGTAATTGAAGAAAAAAAAACCAAAGCAATAGCCGAATTCTATTGAAAAAGAACAAAAAAGCATAGAAAAAAATGGAATTTGAACCATACCTCAATGACGCTCTGTCGTCTACCTGCACTAGCTCTTTTTGGCGTTGCACATTTTGTTTCGTTAACAGTTGGATTGGTTTTTTTCAAATCGTAAATCGTTACTTTCATGTTCGTACAATAAAAATTCAAATATAACAAAAAGTTCAGCATAAAATTTGGAAAATTAAATTGAATTCGAGTATTTTAAATTTATTGTTAGCATATTTTTAATTGGGGAATTTTCTTAAATACAAAGCTATTCTGTCTTTTTTCTCGATGGATTTTCGGTGAGTTGAAATGATTAAAAATTCCCAAAAATGGCAATGCTTCAATAAAAAGTATAGTTTTCGCACAAACGTTTGGACCAAAACATGAATCAATAAAAAAAACAATAATTTTATTATTTTGAATACAATTCATCCCTCACAATCGATGAAAATAATTTTGTTTGGCGAATAAAAATTTACAAAGTTTGCACGTTTTGGTTAAAATAACATCGTACGAATTGTCACGATGTC